GAGCCTCTCTTCCATCGTCGCCCCTCCAGGACAGACTTGCCTCAGGGGAGCCCGTCACTGTGGAGGTCTGCATGCCAGGGTGGCACTGCTGTCCCCACGCACTGGCGGCTGCCCACCCTGCTCAGGCCCAGCTGCCCCCAGCTCCTGCCCAACCGATCCCACGGACAAGTGGTGGGATGTCCGCATGTGTTCTTGGAGCTGCCTGCAACAAGCTGTACCCCCAGCCCTGCTGACTCCAAGGCTGGGAAGGATGCCCTCCACAGCAGTAAGCGTTGAACCAGGCCAGCTCTCTGTCCTTCTTTCTGTCCTTCCTTCCTTCCTTCCGTTCATCCTTCCATCCTTCTTTCCAGCCAGCCGTCCTTCCTTCCATCCACCCATCCACCCATCCACCCATCCATCCATCCATCCATCCATCCATCCATCCATCCACCCACCCATCCATCCATCCATCCTTCTCTCCCTCCCTCTTTCCATTCCTCTGGTTCTCTTCATTTCACGACCTGTCCCTCCCTCCCCGCCAGCTGTCCGTAGCCACCTCTCTCATTCGCCCCTCTCCCCTCCTGCAGCTATCTTTAACCACCTCCGGCTCCACGGCTCCACGCTGCTCAGGAACAAGTGCAGCCGGGAGCTGTGAATAACTCCTCTGGCTGCCCCAGCCCCAAGCGGTGTTGCTAGGGGTGACTGCGTTTCAGGCAGGCTCCGCGACAGCTGCCCGGGCACTAACAAAAGCTCCCCTTGTCCTGCCACAAAGCACCATTATTCAAAAAACTTCTGGGTGAAACATTGTGCCGAGGTGAGGCAGGACAAGGGATGCCCGGGGGAACACGGTGGTGGAGAGGCACCGTGTTGCCCCGGCTCCGTGCCCGGGGAAGGGTGGCTGTTTTGGAAGGGCTGCAGGGTGTGCGGGCAGGCACGCGGGCGCATGGTGCGCCTTTCCACCTGCGCCTCACCGGCACGAGTAACACGGGGGCTGCTGCATCAGTATGACCCTGAGGTTTGCTGGCATTTCTTCAGCTTTGAAATGCCAGAGAGATCTGGTGTCTTTCTGGTAAGCCGGGCCGTGGGGGTTCAGCCAACAGGCTGTCCAGCCCAGGACCTTGCTCCAGTGGTGGTTTTTACTTGGTCCCTGGGGAAGGTGGGATGCATGCACCCTTGGCTCCTCCAGAGGGATTGCACGGGGGTTGTCCTCAGCCCACACTAGAAACACCTCAAAAAACCCTGCCCTGCAGCAGAGTGGGTCCCCAGCTCAGAGGCGTGCAGTGGAGAGGGTCACGGGTGGGGCCGTGGCTGACATGGGCTCAAAGATCTTGGTGAGCTTTGCAGCTCCTCTTCTGCTTGGCATGACCATGAAACCCCGGGAGGGGCCAGCAAGAGACAGACCCAGCAGCATACCGTGGGGCAGCACGGCCCCGGGGACCCGGTGGCGCATCTCTGCCGTGGACCTGGGGCCCTGAGCACCTCTCAGGGGACTTCCTCACAGGGTGGCCAAGCTCCTCCGTCTGTGTGGGGACATCTGCAGATGGCAGCACCCACACACACAAAGCTCCCTGCCCTGTGCTGGTGCCCTCTGGTGTTATCCCATGGTTCCATGGCCTGGCCCCGGGTGCTGGGGGCTTCTGCCCAGCCCACCCGGGCAGAGCTGGCCTTGGCTCCCAGCCTGGCTTGGAGCAATTAGGCAGCCCCAGCCTCCGGCACCGCGCTGCCACATCCCTGGGCCCGGGTGGG